TTTGTCGCCCGTACGTTTACATTTCGAAATTGTAATTAGCATTCGTACCGTAACAGCATTTTTATCATTTTTCTACACCGCTTATCGTTCGTTAAATTTCATTGAAATGCTTCGAGTAGTAGCAATTAAATTTCTTCTGTATTTTTTTTCTACCCTTGTTTATTATAGAATCGTATTATTCTATACACATAAATATGTTAATTAATCTTCTAGAAAGTTTAATTAATTAAAGTTTTTTTTAAGAAGATAAACCCGGAAAGTTACAGGTAGAAGAGTTGCTCCTGTGCGAAGTGTTTTTTTTATGCCAAATAATTCCATAAATACACTAAAATTTAAGTGTTAAAGTGTGTTTTGCCAGCGTACAGATGCGGTCGTACGGAAGAGGAAGAAAATTGTAAGGTTAAGAGGAGGACCGATCCGAAATTTATGTATTATTATTATAAATGGTATCACAAATAAAAATCAAAGTAGAGAAAATTAAATTGAAGCATCCTCTGTGAAGTTATGATTATGATATCCGCCATTCCACGCTAATAGACACATTGCAGATAAGCGTTATTACCTAAACACCTACTCGTACGTGTGTATATATATTTATGTGTATATATATCCCGTTGATCGTTTATTAATAAGTCAAGTATAACGTTAACTCACCTGGCCAACCTAACTGACGACGTTCTGTGTTCGTACTGGAACGATTCGCTTAACATTTACCAGTATCGCCGGACGCATGCGCCGTTATAAACATCTCCCGGTGTTCTGTTTAGTTTTAAGATACCCGATGTGTGTCTGTGTATGTATGTGTTGCCGTGTGTCGGCTTTGTATGCTACCGATTGGCTCACTATTGCGACTCTTGAGAGAGCTCGTGTGCTTCTATGAAAGCTTAAGTGTGCTCTTATGTGTATTTGTTGAATGTTTATGTGACGTTGTAAAGTTCTTGTGTATACTCCCGCGAGTGTTTGTGTGTATTTCGTATGTGTTTTTGTGTGTTCCTGGGACTGCTGGTGTGCTCTACTTATATGGCTTCTATGAGTGATTGCTTGTATGCTAGCGTATTCTCATACGTACTATTGTTTTTATGAATGCTTACGTATGCCTGTATGCTTCTATGTACTTTATATACGTTTACTTACGTGTAGTGTTTATAAAATTACTACTAAAACACAATACAGTACAGCAGGAGAGGGCACAAAATCGAAAGTCTCACGTTCTTTGTTAGCAATTATGCATTTTTGTGTAGATAGTGTATAGGAAGAGGCGGGTCGAAATGGTCTGTTGTGTGTCTAAGAGACGTAGCTTTATACTAGACTTTATTACACAATATTCGGCCGTTACGTCTGGATATCTGTAAGTTAATGCGCCGTATAGAAGTTTATGCGGTTTATGGTTCGATTTGTATAACGATTTCTGCCTACTCGTGAGTTGTTACGTCCGGAATTTTCGCTAGTAATTTCACGAGATCATAACACCCCCCCGTCTGGGGGAGTTCTAGTCCCAGTTAAGTGGGAGATTTTAATGGAGATAATTCGATTTAGCATCATTATAATTTTTTGTTTTATTATTAAATAAAACGTATTACACATTTAACTACTTCAATTGTTCAATTAAGTGTTTGAATTTCGTAAATTTGAATTCAAAAATTACGTTACGAAGGGAATTAATTAAATTTTTTAAATTTAGGAATGATTAATTTGTCGAATTTGGATATTTTAAATTGGATTTTTCTCTTATTTAATCGATTTCTTTTGTGTTTTCTTCTATTTTCTTGTGTTTTTTATGTGTTTATATTCTTATTTTTGTTATATTGTAGGATTTTTCTGTGTATAAAAAAAATCTTAACGTAGAAAATATAGAATTAAACACACAGAAACATAGAAAGCATAGAGTTAAGAACATAGAATTAAGAAATAAAATGGAACTTGATCCTTCTGGAGCATCACGGATTATCCGGATAGTGTTGATGCTGTTCTGGCTAATATCTAAGAGTCAAGGCTATCTTTCTATTGACATTGCTGTTAAAAGGATATCTTTTCCTCTTTCCTTTAACGATCCTTCGAATTATCCCGATTTTTCTCTTCTATTTTAAGAAACGAAATGATGATTTTCTTATCATAATTGGCATTTTAATGATTCCCATCTTTTAATTCCACCAATGGCAAACAATAGATTTGCTCTGATCGATTGTAATTAAGTGGCAGGAGTTATAAAAGTGTAAATAATACGTGATGAATACATAAGAATAATAAACGGGACAAAGGATAAACAGGAGTAAATGAACAGTTGGGAACGTTGAGCGCTTGTATGGGGGCCTGGATAGAGCGGGCCCCTTTTGTCCGTTTATCATTTTTATAGTAAGAATAGCTTTAATTTAATGAGGATAGTAATCACTACGAGCCATTAAGTTTTCTGTGGATCTGGGGCGGAGTTCTCTGAGGCCCCCCTCTTGTAGGCCCTATCTACATCAAGCTGTACATAAATTGTTACAATATAAACAATATAATGTGTGAAGGACACATTTTTAAACTATGGGTACCATCATGGGTTCGACCATATCCACATCACCCTCCGAAAAATTCCTGGGGGTTGCTCGTGTGGATTCGATACCTCCCCACACAAAAGTACGTCGACGCCTCAACCGCCCAGGCCGTCGGTACAATTAATTAACGAATAGTAAATATAGTGTTACGTAAAAGGGGGTCAAACAATGAATATATTAAGTAGTGTTAAGCAGCGTGTAGCATAAATGGTAAGTGTTAATGTGATAGAACCATATAGTACGTGAATTATACAAACTGTAAAAGTGCAATAGTAAAAACTATAAATAATAAACAGTACAGACAACGAGCAAACGTTATAATTAAGTAATGGACGGTAAAAATAGTAAATAGCGTAATACACAGGAAACAATACAATACCTAAGCAATGAATAGTATAAACAGATCAAATAATACAAATAAAAAATGGTACAGTCGGGGTTTCGAAAGCCTAGTATGGGACGTAACTAATGGGGAATCCATCCCCTCTTAGTTATGCCTATTCAGGGCCTTCCAAAAGGGAAAATAGGGATTTTTCCCGTGCCCCTTTTGTCTTTTTTTTTTTTGAACAAATTAAATACGTGGAGAACGTTTCTTCATTGAAGAATTGGTAATTAAAATTATATAAATAAAGGGTGGCTCAAAAGTCAGTTAACTCATACGTACTGTACGTATTGTTTCCAATTCGGTTTTGAAGGCAATCGTAACAATATATCTCGGTAAACTGACTTTTGGATCACCTTTGCACTTATAAATATATCTGTGTTAATCAACTTTTGAACCACCTTGTATATATAAATATAACTCGGTTAAAACAACCTTTTGGACCATAAATCTTTGTTAAACAACTTTTGGGCCACTCTGAATATATAAATACATCTTAGTTAACTGAATTTTGAACCAACCCGTATATAAATATACAGTATCTTGATCATACGTATGGGTCTCCCAGTACGTATATAAATAAACTTTTCTTTTTTTTTATTATTTTCTGTTACAAATTACTGGGAATTTGATTAATTAGTGTTTTTATTTTTGTGTTATTTACATTTCGAGCAGCAACAATCCACTATTAAACTAAAAGACAATCAAAAATAGTCAAAGAAAGTTTCAATTTTTTTTGTTTTTTTTTTTATTTTTTTATTCTTAGAATTGTTTGCTTCATTAGACTGTCAGCCTATGCTGTGTCTTCTTGTGTGTGTTTGTAAACCGTGTTTGTGACAAGTCGAGTGAATTAAAGAAAATCAAAATTGATTCGAATGGTTCTAATTACATTTCCAAAGGGAATTCCAATGATTTCAAGGATAATTATTTTTCTTAACGAACAATATCAAATTCCGTATAATACGTATTGGAGTTTGTAAAATCGAATTTACTAATTTGTATCGGGAATAATTAAAATGATAATTTTGGCCGATACGTAATTTTCTCCAATTTATAATCACTCTCTTAATTATCTAATGATGATAATGATGATGAAGGTTTAAACAATAGAGGAATGGATGAAGGCAGGGATGGACTTGCATTTGTGTGCCTAAGCTACAATCTACGACGGGCCTTTGCCCTTTACTAGATAATGATACATGTGAGGCCCTAAACTATAACGTACAACAAATCCTTGTCCTCCATATACGTGTGAGAGTAAGCTTTTGACTCATAAAGAAAGGCCCTAAGCCGCAACTCATTTAGTTTATATGCAAATCGGGCCTATATTGTAAATATTTAAATTGATTTATATGTAAATTGCGTTTCTAAATTTAATTATATTTTTTATCACTATCTTCATCAACGATGTATTAAACAAGTTTATCTTTTTAAGCGTAGAAAATTGGATTTTCTACTAAATAAAACACGAATGTGAATGTTTATGTACGTGTTTAGAGCATGCATTCATAAATCTACGATTATGCAAGCATATCTGTTTTAATGCACATTCTGTACCTGTACTGTATACAATGTGCACCTGCATATACAACAAAATGTAAGCATGTGCATGCATGTATGTACAGAAGAAGCTTGCATTTGTGGATGCATGTTCTTTGATGTATATAAGTATTCGTTTATGTACACTTGCACGCATATACTTCATTTCGATACATAAATAATTGTTTTTCTGTGATGTGTACATACATACGTGTTCTGTAGATGAATGCGGATACGAATGCATTCATATGCATAAATTTACTGTACTTATGTAAGCGTATATAAATGCATGCCCACACGCATTACGCAGAACGTACGAACATACAAACACCCAAATGTATGACCAGAAAAATCTTGATTATGTTAATGAAAACTTGTGTGTTCATCAGAAAACGCACGCATGCTGTTTACTTTTCTTGTGTTTTATATTTCCTTAAGTACAGTAATGAGTAAAGTACAGTAATTTCCATAATTACAGTAAAGCATGTGTAATGTACGTGGGCATGCAATTTTTAAATACTAAATTGTTTTTTTATTTGAAGGTGTGAACGGAGATTGCCGAAATTCGTCGCACGTGCCGATAGTTTTTGGAAGAAACAGCATTTCTGGATGTACATTTCAAGTCAATATTCACCACTTACAAGATAATTGCACCTCCCTTAGGTGAGTTATTATTCTTTTCAGATTTTAGCGATTATGAAATTAGATTTAATTGTTTTAATAGCGACATAATACTGTACATACAAGTGTCCAAGTTAGAGAGGTTTTACATTAAAGTACAGTAAAAAAAATCCCTCAAGTTGGATATTCCTCCAGTTGGAACCTGTAAACATCTATATGGCTTTACTATTCTCTATCTGAGACACCTCTCTAAATTGGACATTGGTCCTAACTAAGCAGGTTTTACTGTATAAAGGATTTCTTTTTTTATTTTTAAAGTACAGTAAAACCTGTCTAAGTTGAACACCAGCAACTCCACAAAACTCTGTTTACAGTAGTGTTCAGGATATGATAATATCTAAATGGAGGGATTTTACTGTACTTTGAACTAAAACCTCTTTAAGTTGGACACAAGTGCTAATACAGAAATGTGTACATATGTTTTTAGACAGAGAAGAAGAGAGAAAAATCTATATGCCAGTTTCGTTTAAAAACAGTCCAGTTTAGACAGGTGGTCGCGATATACAGGTGCCAAACTTTACTGTATTTTAAAGTAAAACCATAAGTTGGTCACTAAATCAGTGTCCAATTTAGAGAGGTGCAAGAGATTATACACACGTTCGCAACGTTGATTCTTAGAGGGTGGTCCAAAAATCAGTTAACACACACTGTTTTTTTTGTTCCAGTGTGTTTTTTAAATAAATTAGTGTAAACGTATTAAAAATATGATTAAATGCTTAAATAAGACAGCGGTCTAGCCTTAAAAATAGTTAACTAACTTTCGAGCTACCCAGTATATATGTAAACGTGTCTCAGTCAAGTGATTTTTGGCCCTTTCAGTGTATCGATGTAGAAATGTATCTCAGCTAACTGACTTATGGGCCACCCTTTTATATATAATTAAAAATTTAATAATTATTGAAGTTAAAGGGCCAAAAAAAGTATTTGACATGGAAAAAACAAATAATTTTTTTTATTCAATTTTTTTTAGAAATTCTTTATAAATCAAGTAATCCTTTGTGTATTATATGTATATACTTTGAAGCGTAGAATATTGAATTTTTAACTTGTACTTTTGGTGTTATATATCTTAATAAACATCAAACTTTCGTATTGTTTTGTTAGGTGTAAATTTTCTTCAAAAAAATTCCTAAAATTTTAAAGAAATTCACTATTTTTTTCTTCTTCTTCCCCATACACCTCCATGCATTTCATATACCCCAAATGAAACTCCTTTTTTTACTTTCCTTATATAAATAATAATGGGAAAGTATGGCGCTCGCTCAAAGAACGACCCTCAAAATTTTTACAATTTTTGGACTCTAGGCCTTGAAACGAAGAGAAATGCAAAAAAAATTGGGGGGGTTTTTCTTGTATGTATTTGTTTGAGGGCACGATTTTGTTCACCATTTTCAAGCTTAATATTTCATATGACTTTTGTCGAAAGTTTCTAAAAATTTTCGGGGATAAAGGGCTATGATGCTCTTAAATTTTGGTAGTTAAAGGTCGAGAGAGTGGGGAGATAGAATGGGTCATGTGTCATATCTCGAGCTGGAGACGATATCCCTCTATCTCTCCATTCCCTCGACTTTAATTCACCAAAATTTAATACAATCAACAGGTATTAGGGGCATTAACGATATTAAATTTTGAGGGTTAAAGGTCGAGGGGGTGGGGAGATAGAGACGGTCACGTATCGCATTTCCAGTGTTATTCGGACTTAATAAAGATTTTAAACACTTACAATTCTTTATAAAACCTATATCTATCCTCAAAATTAAGCCTTATTCCGTTTTATAATAATTATAAAGATTTTTTAATAACAAAATCTCATAACAGATGGCGTCACACGCAATTTTGACTTTTTTTTTGTCGGGAAAGTTACGCAACTCGTTGCTGGATTTTTTTTATTATAGATCTGTTGATTCTAAATTTGATTTTTTAAAGATAAAATTATTAATTTTTCAGATCTGTGCCGTTAAAAATACGATAATTGATGCAATTACACTTTGCTGTTATCAAATTTAAATGCATTCTTCCCTAATGTTAACTCAATGGATCGATATTGTAATCTTGTAATTTATCCAATAAATCTTCTAAAAATTAATTATTTTTTTAGGAAGTTCCATTAAATATTATTATTTTTTTACCCCCTTATTAATTTTTGGTAGGTTCTTTGTACCACGAATTAATAGAAAATTCAAGGTCCAAAGAATTATACTTAACAACATCCTTTATATAAATTCCCATTTTAAAATTATTTTCTATAATATTTATGAGAAATTTGTTTGTTTTTGGTTGATAAAACGATTTTCCACGCGTAAAATATCTTTAAAAAGTCTAATTTTTCTTCGTTCGTCCGTTTGTCGGTGCGTGCTTTTGATGAAAATCTCGAAAATCATTTGAGAATTTTTAGATGAATTTTAGATAATTTTGTACTAAATTATATGTACAGACGTGTATATTTTTAACACAAATTTAAGTGGAAAATGGAGAAGAAATTTAATGATTTTTTTAAAATTATAATATTCCAAAAGTAAGTAGCATTAAATGGAGATTTTTTTGAAATATTACAACATTAATTTTTTACATGATATAAGTAATTTTATGTTGCTGTAATATCCGAAAAAATCGTTACTTCTATCGACTGATGATATTTTATAATAAGAATTACTCTAAATTTGCAGTTTGTCTGTACGTTTGTCAGTGCGTATTCCCCTGAAAAAATTCAAAAATCGTTTGAAGTAAATAGGTAAAATTTTTCAGATGATTTTCCCACCAATTTTTATACATGTTATTACGTAGAAAATTGCAAGGAATATTTCCAAAAATGCCGGATTTTTTATTTTTTGGAAGATTTTATTTTATTATTAAAATTTCTTGTCCTTTGTATATTGTTGAATTTTTAAGGGTTTGTTTATGCTGATTTTTAAAAATTTTATTGTCACATATATTTGTTCTAGAGTTAGCTCGTAGCATTGTTACTGTTGCAAATTAAGCTTGCATGTAGATAAATCACCGGTTTATCTTCATTGTTTCAAAAAACGCCAATATTTATCTTTATTTACTGTGCCATTAAAGAAAACAGTTTTATAAAAACTGTAATTTTCTACAACATAAGGAGTAAATTTATTCAAAACACACAAGAAATTTATTAGAATATCTGCTAATCAGTTATTTAGTTTTATTGGGCTACAAGTTGAAAATTTTGTAGACCTATAAATTCCCACTTTCATCCGTCCAGCTGTCTGTTCTTCCTTAATCTTGAGAACGGTGTTAGATAAATGAAAGCTGAAACCAGATTTGGAAATATTAGAGGCAGGAACCTCCAATTAACTATATATAAACTTCCGATTCAAACCGAAAGTCACGTTATTTTAATTAAAAAATTCCTCCCCCTGAAAGGAGTTAGATAGATAACTGACACGACTCCATTGCTAACAGGAAAAGTACGTTGTACAGAGGCAAGACACTACTAATTTGAGGTGGAGAGCATATTTAAAAAAATTGATTATAAAGTGGAGAGCATATATTTTATTTGATTACGAGGTGGAGAGCACATGTTTTATTTGATTATGAGATGGAGAGCATATTTTTTAAATTTATTATAAGATGGAGAGCATATATTTTATTTGATTACGAGGTGGAGAGCATATATATTTATTCAATTACGAGGTGGAGAGCATATATATTTATTCTAGTATGACGTGGAGAGTATATATATTCGTTTGATTATGAGGTGGAGAGCGTATATGTTTTTTTTATTTGATTATGAGGTGGAGAGCGTATATTTTATTTGATTATGGGGTGGAGAGCTTATATTTTGTTTGAATGTGTATATCTAAATTTCTAAGTAAATTTTTTGAATTGTTTTGCTTTAATTAGATATCTTATGTTCATTTTATTAAATTAATGAATTAATTATTACCTTTCCTCTGTTACATATAACAGAGATAAAATACGGCAATTGGTCAAAAAATCACCCCTCCAAGATTTTTCGATTTTTGGACTCGGGGACTTTAAAGCATTGAGAAATGCCAAAAATTTTGGGGTTTTTATATTGGTAACCAACCACTGAAATTTGGGGTTTCTTTCTTTGTGTGTGTGGATGTTTGTGTGGCACGATGTTGTTTACCCTCTTTGAAGCTTAATAACTTCTCTGTCTTTTGTAGAAAAAATTTCTGAAATTTTTCAGGGAGGATTGTGTGTTAGGAGCATTACTGCTGTTAAATTTTGATGGTTAAAGGTCGAAAGTTGGCGAGATAGTGGGGTGGTCACGTGTCGTATCTCCAGCGGAGTCGGACTTAAGGAAGATTGTACAGTACACGTTATTAGCACTTAAAATTTTATCGTAAATCTCGTCTCTACCCTGAAAATTAAGCTGTTTTCTATTTTATAACAATTAATAATATAAAAAGTTTTTAATAAAATCTTGTAAGAGATGGCGCCACACGCGACTTTAAATGTTTTGCCAGGAAAGTTACACAACTCCTTGCTAGATATTTTTTTTAATTAATAAGTGGACTGGTTAACTTAAATGGTTCTAAAAATTAATTTATAGATTTATATGATTCTCGAAAACCAATTTATACACTTAATAATTCTCAATAAATTGTGTTTAGAGAATCATGCAAGCCTATAAATGGGTCATTAGAGAATTATAGACTTGCATGATTCTGTGAAAATACATTTTACAAACTTTATGATTATCTAAAATGCCATTTATAGACTTACATGGCCCTAAATATATTATATTTTGGAAGAAATTTAAATTAGCAATATCTAAATAATTTAGATATTACTAACGAATTCATGTTTTAGTAAGAGAAATGTGTAATTTGTAAATTTATTGTTTACCATTTATTCCTGAAAAAAATAAAATAAAATAAAAATTGATGTTATTTTTCATCTTTTTTAATGATTAAACTTCGCGTGTGTGTTTAAGTAAGATCGTATATTGTGTATATAATAAGGAAAAATTTATTTTTCCTTCCACTGTTAAC